GGCTGTCGCCCTTTGGATCGCCAGAGAGCACTTGGGTCGAAACAACCTGCAAGGGGTTGACGGCGAGGAGCTTGATGCTCTGACGCACCCGGACCATTTGGCCTATCTCAGGGAAGTGAGGGCTCAGGGAATGCCAGCCCGCTATCAAGGACAAAGAGAGAGAGTGGCAACCAGACCGCACCCACGAGCTAGAGCAGATTTGGGCCAGGTCTACGTCCAGCTGATGAAGGACATCATGAAGCATAGGGTCTTGGTTGTCTCTGCGGACCATGGGAACCTCGGGCATACAGTGTCCTCGCCCTTTGAGTTGGTGCCCAAGATGCTCCCGAACCGGACATTGTCGACGGAGGCAAGGCTGGTGCACGATCAGCGGCAGGTCAATGAGGGCACACACAAGGACCTTCACCCTCCAGCTGCTCAACCTACACATGGGCAGATCGCCAGAAGAGTGCTGTGGTGGAAGACCAAGTACCCCGGTGTCAAGGTAGTCTTGGCCAAGAAGGACGTCGCCGGTGCCTTTCGCCTCTTATGGGTCGACCCGCGGGATGTGGAGCTTTTCGCTGGGGATGTGCCATGGAACCCAGAGTGCATGGGGCCACGTGGAGATGCGGGCGAAGTCGAAGGTGGCTCGGGTTTGACACTCATCTACCTCGTCTCGAGCTTTGGTTTCTCTGGGTCTCCAGGAGAATGGACGGCATGGGGAAGGGCTACAGAGGAGGTCCACCGCAACCTACGGCCGCAGCATGGCAGGCGAGACGGAGGAGCTCACTTCTGTGGCAAGATCCTGGTCGACGATATGGTGTTGGTTGAGCCAGTGATTGGGTTACGACCATGGGTGTCCAGCGAGGTCTATGAATGGGCGGTCGTGAAGCTCCTTGGTGAGAAGGCTATCAACAAGTTGAAGGATGCAGAGGAGGGCCAGTTCAGTAACCAGCAAACTGTATGGGGCCTCACCATTGACGCTGACTCCGAGAAGATGTCGCTCCCCGAAGCTCGCATCCTCAAAGGAGCTTACCTTCTCGCCCAGCCGCACTTCAACTATGGCAATAAAGGTCTGCCTTTGAAGGAGCTGCAGCGGTTCCGGGGCATCGCCAACGGCTGGAGCGCGGTTATTGCCGGACTGAAGAATGAGCTGAGAGCTGCGGACCTGTTCCTAGGCGGTGTCGACGGTGGAGCGGCGGTGCATCCACGGCTGCTACAACCAGAAGGTTCGGAGGAACGGCTGAAGGAGGAAGCCCAGGCTTGGGAAGCCCTGTGGGAGTTGTTCGAGGACTGTAGATGGCTGTGTTCAAGGTCCGAGACATGGGCTGCCAAGTTTGGAGGGGACATTCGGGAGTTACTTCCCCCGCTTGAGAGGTTAGCCCTCCCAGGCCAGCGAGGAGCAGGACCAGTCTTCGTGTCTTCGGACGCAACCCCAGATGTGGTCGCAGCCATTGGTTGGACAAACTGTCTAGCCTGCCGGGAGTCCATCGAGACCCTGAAGCCGTGGATCAAGCAGGTGCTAGAGGCCGAGGGCCATGAGGAAGGGAAGCTGGCAATCCATTTGGGGGAGATGCTGAGCTTCGTCGCCTTCGCGTGTCAAGTAGGGCATCTTTGGGAAGGTAGAGTGGTGATCTATGCCGGGGACAACAAGGTCGTCTACTTCTGGATCACGAGCCGGAAGAGTGGGGTGCGGGCTGGAAGGCTGTTGATTCGCGTCCTGAACCTGGTGGAGAAGCGGCACAGGTGCAGAATCCTTGGTGGCTGGTGGAGGACTTTCCATAATGAGGATGCAGATGCCCTGACCCGCTTGGAGGAGCAGGAAGCGCTACAGCTGATGAGAGATAAAGGATGGAGCCGTCAAGACATCAAGGCGAGCATCCACCAAGCCTTGGAAGACACAGAGAGGTTTGGGCTATGTTTTCTGTCGTGGGCAGATCAGGAGGACCGCCAAGAGCTGATGCGCCTTCGTGAGTTGCGGGTATTTCGTGCCATCTTTCGCCAGCCGGCAGATTTACTTGATGTCGAGGTCGTGGAGTGGACGCCCGGGCAGCGCTATGTCAAGGACCTCGGGTACTTCTCTGGGCCCGGTGCTGGGCTGTACAAGGTGGTGGCGGGCACCATTGGACCGGACCCGAAGGGAAGGAAGGTTGGGGAGTTTACTCAATACCTTGACCATGAGGTCTTCGACGTGGCGATCCTGGAGGGCCCGACGGAGGTGATGTGGTCGCGGCTGAGCTGCTGGGCCAATTCGGTGGGATGGAGTTGCAGTTTGCAGGAGTTCTTGACCTCCGAGCTCGGGGAAGCGTTGGTGCGCCGGAGGATCGCTGGCTTCCTGTTCCCTGGGGAGAAGACAAAGGAGGAGATCGAACACCTTTTCGTGAAAGCGGTCACTCCGCCATCGATGGGCTCCTACTTGAAGAAGATCCAGGAGGACGGATGCGTCTCGGCCTACAAGACGGAGACGGCTATCAATGTGGGTCAGGAGGCGATGCTCCCAATGGTGACGGCACATGTGTGGTTGAGCCCAGAAGGCCAGAGGCACAATGTCTACTCGATGGGAGGTCCTGGTAGATGGCCACTGGTTGACCCGGTCGGAAAGGGCATGCAGCAAATCTTCGTACAGGACAAGGCAGCCCCAGTCGGCAAGGTGAGGGCGCTCTCTGGCGAGGAGGTGTGGGTCCTACAGGGCAGACGCCCCGATGAATGGCAGGAGCTTGTCGCCCAGATCGGCGAGGTCGAGGCAGAGAAAGAAGGATGCAAGGCCACCGGGCGCAGAACCGCCCTGAACCTGGTCGGAGTTGCAGCGGAGCTGGCAAAGGAGATCCGAGAGGGTAAGGCAGGCATGTGCATCGACCAGGAGGACTACAAGACCTTGGGTTCGCTCCTGCAATGGCTTCGCAAATGGAGGAGAGGAGAGCTTGGACGTGCTACTCCCAACCGAAAGGCAGGGGGCGGCGTCGAAGAGGCAGGACGTGTTTGGTTCTGGGGCGAGGACCTATGGCTTGGCGCCTTGGAGACCGAGAGCGGCAACTTCGAGGGCATTGAGGAGAGAAGGTGTGGAGGACGCCGAAAGGGACCTGTGAGGCCGGTTGTCGAGGATGGAGGGCATTTTGTCGACCTGAACCCCGACTTCAACCCGGATATGGAGATTCAGGCCCAGATCGAAGAGTGGTTGGAAGCACACCTTACGGGTGACAAAGCTGAGAGCACCCAGAAGGCCTACCTAGCGGCATGGGGCAAGTGGTGCGATTGGAGCAGGAGGCAAGGATGGCTCTCGCCGTATCTGGACCACAAGGGCGACCCCATTCAGAATGAGAATAAGGTCTTGGGGTACCTGGGCTACTTGGGATGGTTGGGTACCTCCTCGGCTACAATGAAGCAGGCCGTCTTCGCCATCAAGGATGCTCATAAGCGAGCAGGTCATGGGGACACCACTACGAAGATGCACCGGCTATGGATTGTCCTCAACTCGCTCGAAAAGCACTCGGTCAAGCGCCCCAGACGTCTGGGAGTCACGGTGCAGATGCTGAAATGGCTGGGCAAACAGTTGATGGCAGGAGCAGAGGCGATCGGGGAGCTCAAAGTCGACTGCCGGATGATCCAAGCAGCGTTGCTCACCGCCTGGTTCTTCATGCTCCGAGCTCGGGAGTTCGCTGATTCGAGTGGCGTTGACCAGGAGATGGTGGTCCGAGGGCAAGATGTGTCACTGACCACCCAGGGGCAAAGTGATGAAACCAACCCAGAGGAGGTGACCGTGACCCTGCAGTTCCGGAAGACCAAGGCGGACCAGGAGGCCTTCGGCACGTGCAAGACGATGAAGAGGACGGAGATCGAGAATGTGTGCGTGGTCACGGCGCTTCATCGCCTTCGTGAGGTCGCTCCCAGGCGGTTCGGAAAGGGTCCGGAAAGCCATTTGCCCCTGTTTCGATGGGCGTCTGGATCAGTGATCAAACGGCTGGAGGTCCAGAACCTGTTGCAGAAGTCGGCCAAAGCTTTGGGCCTGCCAGCGGAGAGGTTTCAGTCGCACTCGCTCCGGATCGGTGGCGCCTCAGCCCTGTACCAGGCTACGGGCGAGATCGAGGTTGTCAAGAGGACTGGAAGGTGGACGTCTTCAGCGGTCCAGCGCTACCTCCACGACTCCGGGGACGTGCTGGCAGGCTTGGCGAAGAAGATGGCCGCGGTTGACCAGCACGTGCACTACACGTGAAGCCGCCCTTGGCGAGGAGGCAGTGAAGAGGGGTGGTGGCAACAGCCATAGGTGACAGAATGGTCACAGGCTGAGTCACCAACTTCAGTGCCTTGCAGCAAGAAAGAAGGGCGAGCGGCTATGCACTTAAGT